AAAATGGTTGATGCCGTGTTGACAGATGATTTCCGAAACACATGACGAGTACAGTAGCATCTAGAGCATTCACAAATTGTTCAAAGTGATCATGGGCCATAACTCTGGCAGTAATTATCGGAAATTGCTGAAAATCAATAGGATGGATGTAAACTCTGTGTATAAATTTAATCGGATATAAAATTTAGCCCCTAAGAGCGTCCACAAACAATTGTGGACGCTGGTCCGACGGACAGGGGCGACGACAATATACAACTACGTATCAATGACAACTATCTGGCCTGTCGAGATTTGTCGTAATTACTAAGATAACAAGATAAAAGTTTAATGGCAGATCTATACGACCCCAGGTCACATTCTCGTGTAAGATTTTCCAGTACAGACGTAAAGTTTGTGATCACTAGTGGATAACCGTATTAGACGTATCAACGACAATCAGCATTAGAAGATTTTCACACTAATAGGCAATGCCGTCAAACTGCACAAGACTACATAGAGATCTTTAATGGCTAACCATATTAGACAAACAGTATTAGATTTTCACACTAATAGACAATAATGCCAAACTGCACTTTTACATAGAATTTCTTCAGTGAAGAAGCTGCAAATACCAATATAAATTGGAATGTAGTTAATGGAAGCTGTCAGCTACTATGTATGAAAACCATCAAGACAAACTCATCTAGTGAATAATGATTTTTTTTTTTAAAAAAAAGAATGTTAGAATGAATCTGAGTGCAGAAGCTGCGAATACCCGGATTTACCGTAGTGAATCGAAGTTGTCAGCTACAGTACTTGTCTAATGAATTGAAATGGGCTTCAACAACCTACTTTTCTGCACCAACTGGGCTAATGAAGATGGGAGAGAGAGAGAGTTTAATGTCCACTCGACACATACTAGGTCATTTCGGGACTAACATATGGTTCAATTTTATTTCCATAATTCGCTTGCGCATAGGGGTCTTTAACAGTAGGAGGAAACCGGAGGACCTGGAGAAAACCCACGAGGTTGGACAGACGACCCTACTCCTTGTCACGTACAACCGGGGAATCGAAACCCCGCCAGTTGACTCAATGACAGACTTTATGATACAGCGCGCACATGCTAACCATTCAGCCATCCAACCCCCCTAATGAAGATGGGCATACATCATATCATATAGTATGTTATGAGGGAAATTATGAATGGACAGTGGCACTATGACTTACTCTTACATGTATATTAATTTCTGACTGTCAGTGGTTCTTTTCACGTGAACATCAATACGTACAGGGGACCGCTTTTTTGTCTCATCAGAAGGACTAGACACTAAAACAACAAATAAACTAACATCCTAGATGTACTCCATATTCAAGATAATCAATTTCTGACTGTCAATGGTTCATTTACGTGCACATCAATATGTACAGGGGACCTCTTTTTTTCTTGTCTCATCCGAATGACTAGACACTAAACGCTAAAACGACAAATAAACTAACATCCTAGATGCACTCCATATTCAAGATAATCTTCAGAATCCTATTCAATATTCATTTGATCATATAAAATATGTCACATAAGTCACATATTGGATGGGTCAGAAATCGAATTGATCCTAATATCAAAAGCTACACATTAGCCCCTGGGGCGTCATAAATCACAGGTGCCTCAAAAAATTTCATTTATATTTTGTTGTGTTGGGTCAATGTCCTATTCTGGTACACACCTTTGTGAGACCTTTTGGTTTAATTGTCTTACGAAGGGCCTTCAAAATGAAATGAAATGGTGTTTAATGTCCTACTGTTCTGCTCCTACTGGCTAATGAAGATGGGCATGCACCATGTAGTGTGCTATGAGGGAAATTTTGCCAGGACAGCAGTGCTACAGACTACGTGCATGCCAGTGTGTACATGGAACCTCGGTTTTTCGTCCCATCCAAACGACAATACGTTGTCACTTTCCAGGCCCTCTGTCCCAGTCCCACACCACTGACAAGGGGGAACCACGTTGAAAAACGGGATCGAACACGGGACCCCCAGTTTAGTGTAGTTTTATACATACATGTACCACCAAGCCTTATATAGCTTAGGTCCTAAACAAAGGCTAAATATGGCATTGAATCCAATTAAAGTCCACAATAAATGTCATATCCCATTTTTTAGATGAACCATATGTAAGCCTAGAGCTACAATAATCCATTAGAAGACATTCTCTTTAAAAACACAGCCATTAAGATTGCGCTGTCAAACCCAAAAATCTTATACAACTAAACACATGCAGCACTTTACCTTCTCATAATCCTAAAAAAAGAATCCTGAATAAATTCCTGTTGGTCATATACAAGTTAAGTATGAACAGGAGCATCGATGAAACTGTTAGCTTGTCGTCATGGCTAACACTATAGAAGCTTGGTTGTCCGTGTACCGCTGCCTCAAGTACATGTGGAGTATTGATTCCCACTCTCTGTGTCTCTCTCTCTAGTCTGCACAAATCACATGTTATTATAGCCAGCTCATGAATATTTTAACTCTATACAACTATATCAAATCATTTAGTCAATATTAATAGTAAGCACAATTCAAATCTAACCAATTTTTTTTTTTTTAAAGATACATTCCTTCCAGGTTTTGGGGTTTATTTAAGATAAATCCTGTTTTCGGGGGTTTATTAAAGATATATTCCTCCAATGTTTTCGAAATTTATTAAAGATATATTCCTTTGATGTAACAAATGTTTTTCTTTTACCGATACACTCCTTTCAGGTTTTGGGGTTTAAGATAAATCCTGTTTATCCGGGGTTTATTAAAGATATATTCCTCCAATGTTTTGAAATTTATTAAAGATATTCCTTTGATGTAACAAATGTTTTTCTTTTAAAGATACATTCCTTTCAGGTTTTAGGGTTTATTTAAGATAAATCCTGTTTTCGGAGGTTTATCTAAGATATACTAGCCTATTCCTCCAATGTTTCGAAAATTTATTAAAGATATATTCCTTTGATGTAACAAATGTTTTTCTTTTAAAGATACATTCCTTTCAGATTTTGGGGTTTATTTCAGATAGATCCTCTTTTCGGAGGTTTATTAAAGTTATATTCCTCCAACGTTTTCAAAATTTATTAAAGATATATTCCTTTGATGAAACAAATGTTTTTCTTTTAAAGATACATTCCTTTCAGGTTTTGGGGTTTATTTAAGATAAATCCTGTTTTCGGAGGTTTATAAAAGATATATTCCTCCAATGTTTTGAAATTTATTAAAGATATATTCCTTTGATGTAACAAATGTTTTTTCTTTTAAAGATACATTCCTTTCTGGTTTTGGGGTTTATTACGATAAATTCTATTGCATGTTGGGGCTTTATTAAGAAAATGTTCCTACATGAAGATCTGACTGGTTATAGCGATTTGTCGCGTCAGAGGTCATACGACAGACTTTTGACCTATGATGTCAGACATTTGATTAACCAATCAGCATTGATGTTAATAGTAGATTACCCACAGTTCCGTGCAAAACACGCCTAAAGCTCGCCGTAAAAGGTAATTTCATTGGCTAATACCTCACACCTTCCAGAACACGTCAATGATAACAACTCTTCCAGAACCTAGCGTAGTCAAGACAAGTAAAACGAAATTTTGAACTATAAAAAACGAAACGAAATAGGATCTGTGTTTTAATCAGATTGAATGGATTGCTCATTTTATTTCAAATCTTAGAAACCATATCAACATGAAATGAAATGGGGTTTAACGTCCTATACAGTGTAATGATAATCTTTGAGTGGCATTTAGTGATCGGTAAACAGATTAACAGAACACAGTTTTTATGGGATACAATCGCTGGTTTTATTCTAAAAACACAACATTTCGACAAGTATCCTCTTATCGTTATCAAGCACAATGACATTTAATAAACAGTGTGCTATGTAGGATACATTTTGCCTACATGTCGATTGTCAATTGCCAGGCTCTCCATCCTGCACCACTGACAAGGGGGAACCCCGCCAGAAAATACTGATGAACTTTCTCGGTCAACGCATTACCCCACTTATCTTATTTCGATTTCAAGTCAGGTAATTCGACAAATGAAAAAGGTGACGACTGAAATTTATTTTAACTAATTATATAACCAAGGCTGAAAATCATAACAAATAATTGGTAAGCATGCTTATTAATTGGACTAAAACATGGTTCAATTTTATTTCAATAATTTGCATGAACGTAGGGGTTTTTAACAATGGGAGGAAACCGGAGGACCCGGAGAAAAAACCCCGAGGTTGGACAGGGGACCCTACTCCTTGTCACGTACAACCGGGGAATCAAAACCATGCCAGTTGACTCAATGACAGACCTTATGATACAGCGTGCATGTGCTAACCATTCGGCCATCTACCCCCCCCCCCCCTGAAAGGCACAGGCTAAATTGTAAAAGTGTCATTAACAGTAGCAATATCATTGAGAGAGGGAGAGAAAAATGGAGTTTAACATCCACTCAACACAAACCAGGTCATATCGGGACTAACATATGGTTTAATTCTATTTCAACAATTCGCTTGCGCGTAGGGATCATATACAGTGGACCAATGAGGTTGGACAGGCGACCCTATTCCTTGTCATGTACAACCGGGGAATCGAAACAACGCCAGTTGACTCAACGACAGACCTTATGATATGAATGCAATCCCCCGGCCCCCTCAACGTAATTGGTAAGCATGTATATTGATTGGTCTATGAATATCTGACATGAAAGGCACAGGCTAAACTGTAGAAAAGTCAAAAACAGTAGCAATATCACTGCCAATAGACACCCAAAACCTATGGCAAAATGGAACACATGCAATTTCTTGAATTTGCAAAAGAATGTCAAAATAAATGTAACTAACGGATTGTCACAGCTGGAAACTAGTTAAGATGCATCAAATATATTGTGAAATGTGTAATACTAATCACAATAAAACTATATATATCATTTCCGGTGTTTTTAAACAATATTTTGCATTATTACACCTTAATCTTGTTTACCTGATGTCTTATTCTGTCAAGCGATGGTCAAGGTGTCAGTAAAAATCACGTGATAAAATTGCTTCCCCTTACCTAGTTCACTTCCGGTGTAAACAAATACATTACCTAGAAGTTAATAATGAGTTTTAAAGATAAATGTAATGGGCATTTATGTTTGTTTGTGACTCCCATTTTTGTGTTATATGTTTTAATCTTAAATATCCGACCCTAACCCTAACATAGAAAGTAGGAAGTTCTATGTGGACACAATACGGACGGCTAACCCGGGCCCGTATCTAGACACCATTTAATTTCCCCATTGAATGATTGACTTCAATGTTAATTCTTGTCACTTTGCGCACCTCCAACTTTCCCCAAAATTTTCGTTGGGCTTAATGCTTTTCACCACAGACAGAGGAACAAATGGTCATGTCTTTGCACTAAAATTTGTATGAGGTTGACCACCAAAATTTTGTGATACACAAATTTGAAGAAGCATACTAAAAACATGTAACTAGTACTAGTTCAGCCATAGGCCTACATATCACCGTAGCCACCCTGATAACCCGGTTATCCTTCCGCCTTAAAATCATGAATATTTACCAAAACCTGGCAGAAAATATTAATTCAAACCTTCTTCGTCCATTCTAGACCAAAAAAATCAACAAAAATGGGCATGCAAAAGGGGAGAAAAGAGACAGAGAGAATTGCTATGGGTACCCAGATGGTGAAATTTAATGGTGGTCTGCCTCCAGTTCTAAAAACGGAGTTACTTCCCTTTACCTGTGTTATGTCTGTTTTTATGAAATTAAATTAAGAAATTTTGAAGCGGGTATAAACCAATAAATACAAAAGTGTTCAAAGTCAACGAATATTTGCCCACCTATACTTTTTGAAGGATGGCTTTCAAATTTTCAGGGTCTGTGGTAATAATTTGGTCTGGAGAGAGAGAGAGAGAGAGATGGATTTAGTTTCCACTCAACACAAACTAGGTCATTTCAGGACTAATTTTTGGGACAGAACTTTACACATGGAATCCATAGGTCTACACCTCTACTAAGTGAACCAAAGTGAATTCCCTATGACCAAGTCACTAGGAAGCATATTTAATGAATGGATTGGATTGGATTGGAATATGTAGGAGTTTTAGGTCTTGTCAACATGGTTTGACACTAACACATGGAAATTATCATATTTCTATGGTTACATTGTGTGTAGGCCTAATGCGAGTTGGAGAACTTTCCGTCAACACTTTTTCAAATTCCAAATACTAAGGGCTTTTTTCCGTGCATGCCAACGCATTAATAGGTGAAAATTGAATTAAAACATTTTTCGTACTACCCGAACTACTAGGCCACTACTTCATTTTCATATAGGATTGTAGATTAGTTACTTGTAAAAATATGCCCCATCATAATGTGTATGATAGATGTACAATGGAAATGAAATGAAATGGGGTTTAACGTCCACTCGACACAAACTAGGTCATTTCGGGACTAACACATGGTTCAATTTTATTTCAATAAACCGGAGGACCCGGAGAAAACCCACAAGGTTGAACAGGCAACCCTACTCCTTGCCACGTAGAACCGGGGAATCGAAACCCCGCCAGTTGACTCAATGACAGACCGTATGATACAGCGTGCACTCGTTAACCATTCGGCTAGCCTGGAGGTCGAGTGTTCGCCACTGCCGGGGCAAAATTTCCTTCATAGCACACTGTATGGCGTATTCCCAGGTTAGGAGCAGAACAATAGGACGTTAAACCCCATTTCATTTCATTTCACAAAAGAAACTTAAAACAGAATTGATAAATAAGTTAATATTTTATTGATAAGCTGTTGTCTGATCATATTTCAAAAAGCCCAAATTTATATAAATTATTGGTCATTCCTAAAATAATGCATTCAATACATGACAAAAACAATCATTTTCACCTGAATTAAATAATTTAAAGCAACATTAAAAACACATTCTCAACAAAAAAAAAGGTCATTCTCTTAAAGGGACAATAACACTCTTGCTGGCTTGAAAGCTCCAGAAAATAAATAATATCTCTATCTAAGTACTAGATGTTTAAGTGTCCTACCTGTTGTGTAAAATTATCCATTACATCCTATTTTACTCGTCCAGAGGGTTCGAAAATATTTTTAAATCAAAGTTTCATTTGAAAAGGTTTACGTTAGATGTTTCAAACCATTATGTTGAATTTTTCAAAATTTTTAAATAAAGTGTGTTTAGATGAAATTTATATATTGAAATATTCTAAAATAGTACAATTTGTTGACCAGAGTAAAGATTGGGACATATTATTCAGTTACAACAAGAGTGGTATTGAGCCTTTAAGCTTTTAAAAAAAAAAAAAACAATTAAAAAGTCTTTAAATTTCTCAACTGAAATGCAAATTCATACCAGTAATAAGAATTTGTATTATAAACAGCAGCCTTATATGGCCATTTTCTAAATGACATAGTTTATTAAATATACATTATGTAAGATTTAGATAAAGAACTGACCATTCTTGCTATAATAGCTCAAAAATAGATAATGTAAAATGAAAATTTCATTCAAATTACTTCATTCTGAGACAAGTTATCACCATTTGTAGTTATGACAAGATGTGTGCATACTAGTGGTAACCAGGGCACTGATATATTTGAGATTAAGCCTAGCTTTCTCATTTTTAAATTAAAATTTTTAAATGGCGAACTGTTCTAATCTAGTTAAAATCAGGAACATCTGATGCCATCCTGAGTTGATTAGGGTCTGGATAAGTTAATTAATGTCTAATTAATAATTTATATAACATTTCAGGTCTTAAGAAAGAAGACCTTAAATAGGCAGATTTAGCTCTTGTATAATGTATGTTTAAACATTATTGACTGTAAATGTTTTGATTTATGAGTAGACCTGGAAATAACATATTTGGTTATATACCACAAAATGTCAGGCATTATTGAAGTTCTATTCTATGTGATAATTTTAAATTAGTACCTGACTTGTATTAAAATTTATTAATAAAAACACTAAAATCAGACCAACAGTACCTGACATAATGAAAAGCACCAGCTGTGCCTGACATTGTCTGTGACCGGTGCCTTATTTCCAAGCCTGTTAAGGAGAGAATTCATTTTATTTTTAATTCTGCTCTTTATATTTGATTTATGAGAACGAAAAAATAATTGATTTCTTAATTTGATTTATTTAAAAAAACAATAATCATTAGTCTAAATGATACCACTAGGGATATATTATACCTTTTTTCCTGTTATACATGTATTTCCTGTTTGATTATTTGAATTATTACTTTGATAATTGGGTAAATACACAGAGAGCATTTATTGAGTACTATTAGTAGGGCTACACAAAGATCATTTAATTGAATAGGGCTACACAAAGAAGATCATTTAATTGAATAAGGCTACACAAAGAAGATCATTTAGTTGAATAGGGCTACATAAATAAGATCATTTAGTTGAATAGGGCTACACAAAGAAGATCATTTAGTTGAATAGGCCTACACAAAGAAGATCATTTAGTTGAATAGGGCTACACAAAGAAGATCATTTAGTTGAATAGGGCTACGCAAAGGAGATCATTTAATTGAATAGGGCTACATTAATAAGATCATTTAGTTGAATAGGGCTACACAAAGAAGATCATTTAGTTGAATAGGCCTACACAAAGAAGATCATTTAGTTGAATAGGGCTACACAAAGAAGATCATTTAGTTGAATAGGGCTACACAAAGGAGATCATTTAATTGAATAGGGCTACACAGAGAAGATCATAAATGGGTACGAGAAAGGATACAAAATGATCATTTCTTGGGTACTAATAGGCTATACAAAACAGACCATATTGAGAACTAATAAGGTTACACAAAGAAAATCATTTATTGAGTACTGATAGGGCTACATATAAGATTATTTATTGAGTACTAATAGGGCTACATATATATGATCATTTATTGAGTACTGATAGAGCTACACAGAGATGATCATTTATTGAGTACTAATAGGGCTACACTTAAGCCCATTTAAGGGGTACTAATAGGGCTACACAAAGAAGGGCATTTATTGAGTTCTAAAAATACTACACACTAGATAAAAACACAGTTAATTTTAATAAGCAGTAGAAAAAAAGATGAGTCTTTAAAAGCTCCTTATTAAAACAGCTAAGAGATTATGAATTCTTTATGGTCAAGGTAATGAATTCCATAGGTTTGGTACAGTGTATGAGAAGCATCTATTCTATGACCGAATGACCTAAGTCTATAGTTGGCGGACTTCAGAAACAAGCATTGAGGACAAGTAATCCGGTGCTTCACCTTTCTGATATTTATAGGCCTATGTACAGAAGTTTGAACTTAATTCAACATATACCCTGTGAAATCTGGAGCTGCTCGTCGGGATGTTTTTATCAGGTGAAACAATTTAAATTTTTTTTAAAAAAAAAACAATTCTTTAGATTGGCGTGACCTGGCCGCAGAAGACTTGCTTCTTGTGACATGTATATTACATGGTAGGCTATTATGATATTCTTCAATCTTGAAAAACATCAATCTGATTAAAGTACAGATCTATTTTTCGTTTTTTTTTTTTTTATATATACCCGTTACCTTCGATGGCCTACACTACATGAAGATCTGACGAGTTGTACTGAAAGGTCGTGTCAAGGGTCGTACGAGCGGCTTTTGACCCTATGACATCAGACATTGATTAATCAATCAGCGTTGACGTTTCTAGTGGTTTACCCACAGTTCGGTGCATGGCATGTTTCATTGACTAATCCCTCACATCAATAAGAACGCCTATTATATAACAACTCTTCCAGATCCTAGTGTAGTAAAGACAAGTAAAACGAAATTTTGAACTATAAAAAACGAAATAAAATAGGATCTGTGTTTTAATCAGATTGGTAAAACATAGGTTTAATATGTTAAAAAAATTCCATTAACAAAAGGACCAAACTACTCTACCCCTATAAATATAATTGAATAATTTTACAATATAATAAATTTACACTTTATATACTAAATACATTATAGACAAGTATACACACAGTTTCAGAGATATAACAAGTACATAAAATAGGTTGCCAGGCAATAAAACATACGCCCACAGCTGCTAAATCGTCTGAGCGATCCACAAGGGTTGTCACATATTTATCCATTTGTAGGTAATGAGGGGCATTTACAAGACCATTTCACATAGATCTTACTAATATAAATAATGCATATAAATTTCATACATACCGGGTGATAACTTTTGTCATTAAGAGCGTTCACAAGGTGCAATAAAGTGAAACAAGGGCCATAACTCCAGAAGAAATTAAGGGAAATTGACAGTAGTGTCAATACCTTATATCAATTTGAAAACAATCAAATGATAAATGTAGTTCACAAAAAAGTGTGAGGGAGAGGGGTTTAATATAGGCTATGCCTATTCCCTAATCCCTATTCAGATACAAATCTGAATAAAATATTGCTTATAAAAAAAAAAAAAAGTGTGGATGACTGATGGACGAGTGCGACAGCAATATACGACAACATTTCCATGTGGGCGTATAAAAATGGATATCCTCAATACTATGTATTTATATCTTGTTAGGCCATGCAAAAAAAATATTCTGATTCCTAGACAATCCTTCCTAAAAATCTGATGCGGGAGGGTTTTCTCCGGGTCCTCCGGTTTCCTCCCACTGCTAAAGACCCCTACACACAAGCAAAATATTGAAATAAAATTGAACCATGTGTTAGTCCCGAAATGACTTAGTTCGTGGCGAGTGGACGTTAAACCCCATTTTTCTCTCTATATATTTTTGATCCTAGGATGACTACTGGGCTAACATCACGTTTCAAGGCACTACATTTATCTCATTAAGTTGTTGAATGCATGATTATCCAGTATCATTTATCTCATCATGTTGTTGAATGCATGATTATCCAGTATCATTTATCTCATCATGTTGCTGAATGCATGATTATCCAGTACCATTTATCTCATCAAGTTGTTGAATGCATGATTATCCAGTACCATTATGATTGTCAATAATGTTTATGAGAGTTGGATATGATCAAGAATTTGATGTCCAGGAATTTTTGTTACAGTTACATCTCAAAATAATTTCTTGTCAATGTGACATCCAAATTTAATATTAAATATCCCAAGTTTACGCATGATATAAGTACAAATTATAGCCCCTCAAACAACTTTCATTTCTTTTGCAACATTAAAAAAATTGGGGACAAAAATTATTTTGAGATGTAAACAAAATTCCACTACGTCATGTGTAATAATTGAGCCATACAGTACATTTGCGGTTTCATTAGAATCGTTTCTATAGACTTATAACCTGTACCCCACAGAAAAAATTAACATACAATAATGAATGAGACTGTTATTATGAGAAGGTCATGCATCTCTTTTTTTAAGTGACAAAAGAGTAGGCCTATCTGACAACCAGAATATTTTTCTTATTTGGCCTTATATGGGACTTTTAGTGAAAGGCCTTTTGTCATATAGTAGGGCCTACATCAGGGGTGGCCAAACTTTTACATTCCATGCGCCGAATATAATACCTACAACTTCAGATGAACCATATAGAAAGCTTCCCGAAGACTTTTTGACAAATGTTAACAGAGATAGAAACATTATTAATTATCTGAACAACTCCAGGCGTGCAATGCTACAAATACGTCACATCAAGGACCAAGCATTCCAAGTTTCATGTCGTTTGTACTGTTCGAAGGGGGTCATCCCCCAAGATGCAAAACAACAAATTGTGGCACGGTTCATGGTCCAGAGATGTTAACAGAAATAGCAACATTGTTTACCTTAATGAGACTTTTGATTCGGTGCAGTGATGTCACTTGGAATAGTCCAATGTGGAACTTGTGCCATGGGTTGGCCACCCCTGGCCTAGATAGTGCAAGCTAAAAAATCTTTTCTATACATAGCCATATATGGTGGCAACTGTTAGATCACATGATCTCTAATATTAACGATTTGTTCTAGAAACACACACACACACCTCCACCCTTTCCTTTGTATTAGTCTTCAATACGATGGTAATCTCAATTATTACAGATTTTACACCATGGACAATTTTTAGCGGAAATCGGTATCCCCACTTGGTTAACCAATGGAAATAAGTATCCACTCTTGGTTAACCAATGGAAATCGGTATCACCACTTGATTAACCAATGGAAATCAGTATCCCCATTTCATGGTTTACCAATGGAAATCGGTATCCCCAATTTGTTAACTAATGGAAATCAGTATCCCCATTTTGTTAACCAATGGAAATCAGTATCCCCATTTTGTTAACTAATGGAAATCAGTATCCCCATTTCGTTAACCAATGGAAATCAGTATCCCCATTTCGTTAACTAATGGAAATCAGTATCCCCACTGGTTAACCAATGGAAATCACCTACTTACAACATATATCACGGCTCCATTTATTTACATGTGTAATGTCTGTACCGGCTGATTTACAAATCAAAATTTTTAAATTATTTTTCTAAAACCTGACTTCACGTATTTCTATAACCTCTTTTTTCAGATCGAATTCTGTCTGATGCTAGTCTCTTAGCCATTTTCCCAAACAAGTCACAAATTTCTGTGCATTGTCAAAAAGAAATGAAATGTGCTTTTCATCCCACTTTTCTGCATGTGCCATGCAATGAGCTATGAGGGAAACTTTGCCCCAAATTCCAACTTGGTTTTTCATCCCATCTGAACAACTAAACATTGTTCCAGTTAGTATTGGAAGCCACGGTGGCTCAGGGAGTAGAACATTAGCTCGCTAACCTAGAGGTCCCATCGATCCCTGCATTGGCTAAAAAAAGTTTATTAGGATTTTCCAGGGTGGTTCCCCCTTGTCAGGGCCTGTTAAGGGACAACGTATACTCGTAAGGATGGGACAAAAAAACGAGGTCCCGTGTACACATTGGCGTGCATGTAAAAGAACCCTTGACAGTTGGAATTTGAAATAAAGAGTAGGTCGCAACACTGCTGTTCAGGCAAAATGTCCCTCATACCATGCCCGTCCTCATTAGCCCAGTAGGAGCAGAACAGTAGGACGTTTAACCCCATTTCATTTCCTTCCAGCACCACTGACAAGGGGAAACGAGGATGGAAAATTCTGAAGATCATACTTGGGTAATATGTGAGTCACTTTCAGAAGTTCTGAAAATTTTGATTTGTAAGGCTGCTGGTGCCGACTACAAAATAAATGAGGTTTACAGAACCAGGAGAACTGATTCTATACCTCTAGTTGTGAAGCTATAGGAAAGCCCTATTGGTCAATAAACCATGCATAAAACTCACTGTAACCCAGGTATCATCATCTTCACTGGCCAAGGGTTATGATTCGCTTATCTTTCTTAAAGAAAGTGAAGCGAATCATAACTCTTGGCCAGTGAAGATGGGGTATCAATTTAATCTTGTGTATCTAGCACTAAATTCTTTCACAATAGTTTAATATCAAATCTTTGTTTAAAAAATCGTTTAAAATCACCCCAAATCATCTAATTTGTACTTGTGTCCAGTTTAAATTTTGATAATGAGTGTCCAAGTGCTTAATTTCCTGACCACTGTACATTATATATACATCAATAATGAATTGGGTTGTTTATTTTTAAACAGTGATCGAGAAATTAAACGCTTATAAATTGGACACTCATTATCAAAATTGAATGGTCAGCTTTAAACTCGACACAAGTACAAATTAAATGCTTTTTATTGAATGAATGTGAAAGAGATTAATGCTTAATACCCAAGATTAAATGATACCCGGGTTACAGGGATCTGAAGCCCGATATGTTAACACAAAATATTCTTGCCACAGCGCTCGATAAAATTAAAAAATATAAATATCAAAGAAAAACACAGATCGCCTTCCATTAACAAACACAACACAAAGTTAACCTAAATCATAACCTCAAAAAATCACGTGGATGATATCGAATATGTATTCGTCGTTTCTTGATAAAACGAAACATAAAAAACAGAATTACCATAGAACACACCGAAAAAAACACAAAAACCGTTTTCATGGAAGGTGGCGTTGGTGTCACAGGTTCCTTCACTATTTCGCTATCTATATTTGGATTAATTAAATTTACACGAGCGTCTTTATCGCTTTCTATGTCAATATTATTATTATTATTATCAATATCGTTATTGTCTATGTTGTTATTTTCTATAGGATTCGCGTTAACGACCTTTTTAGGACTATTTTTTGCGTGATTGTCTTCCTCGTAATATGTATAATCGGCATCCTCGGGATTATTTTTCTTTCCATTTTCTTTATAATCCCCTTCACCACCCTCGTATAAATTTTTCTTTATTTCAATTTCTTTCGGTCTTAACCCAAAGTGAACTACTTTTTTCTCTGGATGTTTCTTACTGTCCGCGGTATTGTCACCATCTGGATAAAATTCGTCATCGTTTTTAGCATCGTTATTGTAATCAGGGTCGTCGTCGTCCTCCTCCGCATCTTCCTCCCCATCCTCATATTCGTCTTCCTCTTCATCTTCCTCTTCGTCATCTTCAACAACCTCGTTTGGGTTGAGGCCGTCTTCGGCAGGATCAGGGTTCAAATTAATACTAGGATCTTTCACCGGTATTAACCCTTCTTGTTTGACTTTCCGAGAATCGCCTCCGATGACGGGGGACTGATCCAACCCTTGACCCAACAAGGAACGCGATGTTTCTTGTAGTATATGATGTGAACTATAAAGATCCAGGGGACCAGGATCTATGAGATATCGTAAATACATGACAAGGGCTCCTGTAGCAACAGCAGTAGTGTGGGCCATACAACCATCTGAAAGAGGAAAAAAAATAATGTTATTATGAGCCAAAATTGACTGCCAATGTTAGTTTAGGTTAAACCAATTAAAATTTGACACAGGGGTGTCAAACTCATTTTGATTCACGGGCCACATGAACTAAAATTTTACATCACATGGGCAGGAGATATAAAAAAAATTCTAAAAACAAAGCCAAACGTCCTTGAACGAGGTGATTTTTTAGACTAGTTTCCAAATTGCCAAGATATAATACTGAACACAACATTCTCTTGTATTACATACAACTTAGATATCTATGACATACGGCACAGAAGTCAGAGTTTTACTGTGAACTGGAAAACAATAATAAATGATTTCCACCGCTAGTTTCTAAGAATTATCAACGTCAGTTTGTTGAAATTTGTTCCAAGGGCCAGATGTTTAACCACCCCTGCTCTATCACATTTCAAATGATGAATATCGATATGGTTTGTTCTCTCATGACTACAAGTATTCAAAAATCTCTCATGACTACAAGTATTCAAAAATCTCTCATGACTACAAGTATTAAAAAATCTCTCATGACTACAAGTATTAAAAAATCTCTCATGACTACAAGTATTAAAAAATCTCTCATGACTACAAGTATTAAAAAATCTCTCATTACTACAAGTATTAAAAAATCTCTCATTACTACAAGTATTAAAAAATCTCTCATGACTACAAGTATTAAAAAATCTCTCATTACTACAAGTATTAAAAAATCTCTCATTACTACAAGTATTAAAAAATCTCTCATGACTACAAGTATTAAAAAATCTGGCAAAACCTGTAGTCTCGATCGCATTCACAAGCCAATTGTTGATGCAATGATTGACCCAACTGTCAGACAAGCTGACGGCCGGCCATAGGGTGGCACATGATGAGATAACAGTACTTCAGATGAAGTTAAAATCATTAACTTTTTGGTTGGAACTGGATGAGGGCTTTATGGATAGACTCTTATGACCAACACTCCAGATTCAAAAACTTGTGGGAAAATTGTGGAATCTTCTAGTTAAAGAAGATCGACAACGGTGTGGTGAAAGTGACCTCTAGCAGTGACCTCTAGCAGCGTCGGATGGACATTTGAATTACTGGAGAGTCACCACAATGTAACTAAATAGTCCGCGGAGGAGCGTTGAAGATGCACAAAACACCAGCAGGGGTTTACTAGTCCTTCTGCAGACGATTTGAGAGAGAGAGAGAGAGAGAGAGAGAGAGAGAAAGAGAGAGTGAGAGAGAGATAGAGTTTAACGTCCACAAATAATGTCATTTCGGGACTAACATATGGTTTAATTTTATTTCAATTATTTGCTTGGCATAGGGGTCTTTAGTAATGTGAGAAAAACTGAGGACCCAGTGAAAACCCACAAGGTTGGACAGATGAACCTACTCCTTGTCACATACAACCGGAGAATGGAAACTTGGGACTGTAGTAAATACATTTCCATGGGAAATCCTAAATTATTTCCATGGGAAATCCTAAATTATTTCCATGGGAAATCCTAACTTATTTCCAGTGGAACTGACCTGGATCTGTGTCACTTAATTACCTACTCAATCCAGCATATTATCAACGTTAATCGGGATGAATAATAGTTGTATACCCAGTAGTCAAATAAATTTGAATATTATTCACCATATCTTGATGTCCAATTGGCCATATTCCTGGTCAAACGTTTAGAAAATAGTGCAGAACATGACTGGCATATACAGGTGAAACAGCATCTATGATGGAGAGGACGACAGCGTAGTCAAGGATACATAGCACACGTGCAGGTTTTTTTTTGAAAATTGGACTATGGTAAACATATTTCCATGGGGAAAACCTCAACTACTTACACTATAACTCAGGTATCATTTAGTTGTGTTGTTTCAGCAGGGGTTGTTGTATTTAATGTTTTGTTTCTAGCTGTGTTGAGTAATTAATTAATTGAGTAATTAATTTTGAGAAACTAATCAGTTATAAACCTAACACTAACCTAACCTAATAGTGAGTTGACAACCTATTGAGCAAAAGACATAGAAATAATTATGATTTGACTTTCTTAGAAAATATGAAATTATCGCTTTAAACTACACAATAGCAGAAACCCAATAGTTTTCTATGGTTCTCAACAGATTTAAACAGTATTCAAACAATGGTTTGAAACTAAACATTAAATACAACAACTTCTGCTAAAACAACACAACTAAATGATACCTGAGTTATAGTGCTATATACCAACCTTTCATCTCTTTTTCTGCTAATAATTTCCTTCCAACGTAAGCAGTATTTTCATTGGCACTCATCAGCTGTCGTTGTTGCCCTTGCCCTATCACATTAGGTTTTATATTGTCATTTAATTTTATCACATTAGCACCCATTGGCTGTAAGCCCTGATATAATTTTGAATTTTTTAAATTATTAGTATCACTTGGTGGTAGAGGGAATACAGAATTTTGTCCTCTTCGTTGCATGGGATTATTAACATCATTGTTGTTATTTATATTCACAATGTTCTGCTGAAGAAATGGTGCCAGGGTGTTCAGATGCACACCATCTGGATTATTATTTTGCTGGCCAACAGGTGCTTGGAGGTTATTTACACCATTGGGGTTATAGTTCTGTTGTCCAATAGGTGCTTGCAGGTTATTTGCACCATTGGGGTTATAGTTCTGCTGGCCAACAGGTGCTTGGAGGTTATTTGCACCATTATTTAAACCTGGTATCGGATTATTAAAATTTGCTGCTAGTCTATTTACTAGATTTGAATTCTGATTGTTCAAATTTTTACTATAAACAGAGTTTGTATCTACACGTTGATCAAACTGAGATTTCAAAATATTAGATGATTGGATATTTTGACCACGATTATGAGGTAGAGTGTCCATGTTATTATTTTGTAAACTTTGAATATTTTTCGAATTCTGTTGTTGTAGTTGTTGTTGCTGCTGCTGACCGTAGTTGATATTCTGTGGTAGCATGTCTAAAGGACCATCCATATTTTGCATTTCAGGTTTCTTTCGAATTTCCGAACTTGATGTTGCAACATTACCTTTCGGATCTCCAAAACATCCGGATGGAAACTGCCACGACAACACTTGATCCAAATATTCCTTCTTTAAAAATTCATAAAATCCTAAGCTTGGACACACAAACTCTGAAATAATAATTATAATCATATATTATATATCGCAATGAATAACTGGAATTCTAGCATGTGGAATACTTTTGTGTGAGGGAGAGGGAGAGAGAGAGAGAGAGAGAGAGTTTATCATCCACTTTACACAAATTAGTTCATTTCGGGACTAATACATGGTTCAATTTTATTTCAATAATTACTTGCATGTAGGGGTCTTTAGCAGTGGGAGGAAACCGGAGGACCCATAGAAAACCCACGAGGTTGGACAGTCACGTACAACCAGGGATTCGAAACCACGCCAGTTGACTCAATGACAGGCCTCATGATACATGCTCCCCCAGCAGCGGGAGAACTTGGCCACCCACCTTCCAGAAATGAAAGGATTACTATTACGATATACAGATGTATGTAAGGTCTGACACTTTTAAGCCACTTATATTTGTAAATATTTGTATAGTCTACTTAGAAAAACAACAAAAAAAATTAATATTTTCAATCACTTAGCATATGAATATATAATAATACTTATATAAACTCAATTTATTTATTCAACAATCTTATACAAGCTTTAAATAGAGGAGTCAGGAGGCAAGAATGAAGGGAGTCGAAATTCAAGATATAATAGTTATATTTAAGATACATTATGTAAGATTTGGATCTTGCTATAATAGTTATATTTAAGATACATTATGTAAGATTTGGATCTTGCTATAATAGTTATATTTAAGATACATTATGTAAGATTTGGATCTTGCTATAATAGTTATATTAAAGATAAATTATGTAAGATTTGGATCTTGCTATAATAGTTATATTTAAGATACATTATGTAAGACTTGGATCTTGCTATAATAGTTATATTAAAGATACATTATGTAAGATTTGGATCTTGCTATAATAGTTATATTTAAGATACATTATGTAAGATTTGGATCTTGCTATAATAGTTATATTTAAGATACATTATGTAAGATTTGGATCTTGCTATAATAGTTATATTTAAGATAAATTATGTAAGATTTGGATCTTGCTATAATAGTTATATTTAAGATACATTATGTAAGATTTGGATCTTATATTAAAGATGCATTAATCTATGATTTAGATAAAGATTTTGTCTTTCTTGCTATGAAAGGTCGAATATAGATAATGAAAAGTGAATATATTGTAAATTTCAATCAAACTGCTTTATTCTAAGCGATTTTATGAATATTACAGGTTTTGAAAAGAGCAAATTTATAATAGGTGATCAGAACACATATCCCTTTGCTTATACTCCCAAGTTGTATCTTTAGAGGGTCTGGCAACGGATAATGAATAGTCGTTCAGATAGGACAAAAAACAATGGTCAAATGTACATATTGGTGTGCACGTAAAAGAACCTTTGGCAGTTGGAATTCGATGTTAGAGTAGGCTGTAGGCGTATGCCCATTTTCATTAAACCTGTCGCAGCAGAACAGTAGGACGTTAAACCCCATTTCATTTCATTAGCTCAGTCGGAGCGTTAAACCCCATTTCATCCCTTTGCATATACTCCCAAGTTAATTCTTCACTAAAAGCTAATGGCCCTCAAAAAACGTGTGCTTAATATACAAACCATTTGTTATGCACCGTCATGTACAGATTTTATACAGGTACAAAAGAAATTCTTTTTTTGTAGAAAATTACATATAAATACGTGTACAGATGGCTTAACACTGCGCTATTTAATCTTACGACAAGATTTAGGGGATAGGGTGGGGTGATTTGGAAGAGAACAAAGAGTTTACCAGACCGGCACCAATGAATTTCCCACACTCTCAGGAAATAAAAGTAAATCATGTCTTGGTAAAAAGTCAAAACTATATATAGAACTTAATAAAACTGTTTAAGAAATTATTTCACGTTTGGATTATTTTTTTGGGTATGGATTGAGTTTTATTTAAATAACATGACATATGTTGCAAAAGCGTGCAAGTGTAATCTATTAAGGCAGAGAGAGTGAGAACCTCTGTATCTAGAACTATATCAAGTGTAATCTATTAGTGTAGAGTGTGGTGTGGGGGGGGGGACCTCTATAGCTAGAACAATATCAAGTGTAATATATTAGGGTAAAGGGCGGTGTGTGTGTGTGTGTGTGGGGGGGGGGGAGGGTTCTATGTCTAGAACAATACCAAGTGTAATATATTAAGGGATAGAGGGAGGATCTTTATATCTAGAACAGTACCAAGTGTATGTAATATATTAGGGTAGGATAGAGAGGGGGGAGGGGGTCGTCTAGAACAGTACCAAGTGTATGTAATATATTAGGGTAGGATAGAGAGGGGGGAGGGGTCCTCTAGAACAGTACCAAGTGTATGTAATATATTAGGGTAGGATAGAGAGGGGGGAGGGGGTCGTCTAGAACAGTACCAAGTGTATGTAATATATTAGGGTAGGATAGAGAGTGGGGAGGGGGTCGTCTAGAACAGTACCAAGTGTATGTAATATATTAGGGTAGGATAGAGAGGGGGAGGGGGTCCTCTAGAACAGTACCAAGTGTATGTAATATATTAGGGTAGGGTAGAGAGGGGGGAGGGGGTCGTCTAGAACAGTACCAAGTGTATGTAATATATTAGGGTAGGATAGAGAGGGGGGAGGGGGTCGTCTAGAACAGTACCAAGTGTATGTAATATATTAGGGTAGGATAGAGAGGGGGAGGGGGTCCTCTAGAACAGTACCAAGTGTATGTAATATATTAGGGTAGGGTAGAGAGGGGGAGGGGGTCCTCTAGAACAGTACCAAGTGTATGTAATATATTAGGGTAGGATAGAGAGGGGGGAGGGGGTCCTCTAGAACAGTACCAAGTGTAATATATTAGGGGAGAGGGGGTGGGGTCCTCTAGAACAGTACCAAGTGTAATATATTTGGGGAGAGGGGGTGGGGTCCTCTAGAACTGTTCCAAGTGTAATATATTAGGGGAGAGAGAGGAGGTGGTGGCCTCTATATCTTGGGTAGAGAGGGTGAAACCTCTATATCTAGGGAGAGAGTGGAAAACCTGTGGACAAGTCCTCAGCACCCCAGTGTGCCCCCTCCCCACTCCCGCAATATGAAATTTGTTTCCAACACTTGTGCTACATCGTATTAAAACAATTTTCATTGAATTTCTAGATCTGTTATTTTCGCTATTTCTATTTTCTAAATTTAAAGTTAATTAATTCTTTAAAAAAAAAACCCAAAAACCTGATATTAATAAAAACTTTTTGCAGACAATTATTCATATGACAATTGTAATCTATAAAAATATTTAAATCCAATGTGAGCCTTGAGTCGACAATGCCATATTTTATTACTGTTGATTGGCTTTTTAAAACGATATATGATCCTTATAGATGTAATGCTGATAACAGATATAACATGTAGGTAAAGAACTTGAAACCCAAGCCATGACATATTACACTCAATAAAATACTTTAACAAGACAGGGTGTGGTTATTTTAATACAGCATTATATAACAGCTATCAGTTGGTTACTGGCTGGTTTTTAACTTGTAGCAATATCACAGAGAGAGAGAGAGAGAGAGAGAATGAGAGAGAGATTATCATCCACTCTACTCCACTCCACACAAACTAGGTCATTTTGGGACTAACATATGGTTCAATTTTATTTCAATAATTCACTTGCCCGAAGGGGTCTTTAGCAGTGGGTGGAAACCAGAAAACTCAGCCACCAAAAGAGAGAGAGAGAGAGAGAGAGAAAGAGAGGGAGAGAGAGAGAGAGAGAGTTTAACATCTACTCAATACAAACTAGCTACTTTCGGGACTAACATATGGTACAATTTACATTTGAATAATTTGCTTATTGCTAGTCAGAGAGAGAGAGAGAGAGAGAGAGAGAGAGAGGTTTAAGTCCCACTCAATACAAACTAGGTCATTTTGGGACTAACATACAGTACAATTTATATTTAAATAATGTGCTTGCACATAGGGGTCTTTAGCAGTGGGAGGAAACCTGAGTACCCGGAGAAAACCCACAAGGTTAGGCAGGTGACCTTATATCATTTCATGTACAAGTGTTGGATCATAACCAGGCTACTAGACTCAATGACAGACTTTATGATCTAAGGCACGCATGTTCAAAATTTGACCCATTTATTTCTTCATGCTTTTTTAGATTAAACATACATTATGCAAGAGCTAAATCTGCCAATTTCAGGTCTTTCTTTGGGCCTGAAATGTTATCTAAATTATTAATTAACTTATCCAGATCATAATCAACTCTCGATGGCATCACTAGCCTGCGATATTTACTGGATTATGATCGCATTTGCTGCATGACTTCAATTCATAATTTAATCATGAAATGGATGATCAGGACTATGTTTTTTATCGTACAGAATTTAGTAATGATGATCGAGGCTAGGCCGAAATTTCAATTGCTTAATTCTTGGTTCATAGTGGATCAATTTGACTGAAAGTTCCAGCAATTGCCTTTACATTATCTAGTTTTTAACTATTATAGTGAGAACGGTCAGCTCTTTATCTTATCTCCCATAATGTATCTTTAACAAGGTATACATACACATGTATATAAATTGTACAATTGTCAAACTATATCAGGAAGATCAATGTCATGTTATACGTATTATATACTTTATAACCCTTTGTTGTAAGTTACCTAATATTATCTATAATCCACTACTATGGATATCTATTATTCAATATGGTAAATCCAATATTTTGTATACATTATTAATATCTGAAGACGCCCATAGAAGGCAGACAGCTAGCTTATACATGTGTATGATTCAATGTATGTCAGAATGATGTGAAGTGGAGAACGGTTTACCTGGACATATTTTTTTAATTATTTATGCATTTACATATATATTGCAATTTATACTGGTACTCATCTTGTGTGTAGCAAGGGCATATACATATATATTGCAATTTATACTGGTACTCATCTTGTGTGTAGTAAGGGCATAGCAATGAACCGAAAGTAACATAAATTTGAAACTTGAAGTGTTAGTCCATCGCCACAAAACCCATGTTTCTCTCCTGACCGAGCTACTCCTATAAACCGAATTTCAGCCTCGGGACAACCGTAGTGTAGCCACCAACCCTGAACAGACAGACAGACAGACAGACAGACAAACAAACAAGCGACAGTCACAAATATTAGTATAGACTTTGTGTATTCATACCATACAAAAGCAGCCCTGAACACTATATGTGTAAGAAGGGGCTATAACATATTTTTATATAATACAAATAAAAGGGTCAATTTTTATTAATAGATTATAACCTATATGTATGACCTAAAAGACGTGTATCACTTCGAAGAACATACCACCCTTATTATAAATTTTATTGAGGGCTAGATAATGTAGATAAGAATTTATTGACAAGAATAAGCAATTTTGAAGGCGTTCTATAATAAGAGTTCAAATCTTTCAGTTACACATACACATACATGTACTTTAAAGGGACAATAACACTCTTGCTGGCTTGACAGCTCCAGAAAATAAAAAATAGCCTTATTCTAAGTACTAGATGTGTTAGTGTCCTACCTGTTGTGTAAATTATCCATTAAATCCTATTTTACTTGTCCAGAGGGTTCAAAAATATTTTTAAATCCAAGTCACATTTGAAAAGGTTTACGTTAGGCTTTTCAAATCATTTAGTTGAATTTTTCCATTTTTTTAAATGAAATTTGTATCATCAATAAATTGGATTATTGTAAAATAGTATAATTTGTTGACCAGAATAAAGATTGTGACATACTATTCAGTTACAACAAGTGGTATTGAGCCTTTAAGGTGACATACTATTCAGTTACAACAAGTGGTATTGAGCCTTTAAGGTGACATACTATTCAGTTACAACAAGTGGTATTGAGCCTTTAAGAGAATAAATAATCTAAAGATATGTTTTGGGTTGGGTTTTTTTAACAGAACACAATTTTTATGGGAAACAATCACTGGTTTTATTCTAATAGCACGACGTTTCGACAAGTATCCTCTTATCGTTATCAAGCACAACGATAAGAGGATACTTGTCGAAACGTCGTGCTATTAGAATAAAACCAGTGATTGTTTCCCATAAAAATTGTGTTCTGTTATTGTGTACCCCAATCACTAAATGCCACTTAAAGATTGGTTTTTTTTAACAATATTGAACAATGTGCTAGTCCCAAATTGACTTAGTTTGTGTCAAGAGGCAATTAAAACAAATTTCTCTCTCTCTCTGGTTAAATAAATGAAATGAAATGAAATGGGGTTTAATGTCCTACTCCGAACTGGGCTAATGAAGACGGGCATATGCCATACAGTGTGCTATGAGGGCAATTTTGCCCGGACAACTGCACTACAACCTATTCTTATATCGAATTCCAACTTCAAGGGATCTGTTACGCGCACGGCAATGTGTAAACGGGACCTTGGTTTTTCGTCCTGCGTCACTGACAAGGGGCAAAAACGCGAAAAATCTGGATGAACTTTCTCGGTCAATGCAGGGGTCGAACACCGGACCCCCAGGCTAGCGAGCCAGCATCTTACCCACATAGCCACCGTGACCCTGAGGTTAAATAAATAAATACATAAATATATAAATAATTGTTCGTATACTTAAGGTGTGAGTCTATCCGAGGGGGGGGGGGGGACCTCTATAGCTAGAACAATATCAAGTGTAAAGGGCGGTGTGTGTGTGTGTGTGTGTGTGTGTGTGTGTGGAGGGGGGGGGCTCTATGTCTAGAACAATACCAAGTGTAATATATTAGGGGATAGAGGGAGGACCTTTATATCTAGAACAGTACCAAGTGTATGTAATATATTAGGGTAGGGTAGAGAGAGGGGAGGGGTCGTCGAGAACAGTACCAAGTGTATGTAATATATTAGGGTAGGGTAGAGAGGGGGGAGGGGGTACTCTAGAACAGTACCAAGTGTAATATATTAGGGGGGAGAGGGGGTGGGGTCCTCTAGAACAGTACCAAGTGTAATATATTAGGGTAGAGAGGGGGGGCCTCTAGAACAGTACCAAGTGTAATATATTAGGGGGGAGAGGGGGGTGGGGTCCTCTAGAACAGTACCAAGTGTGATATATTAGGGAGGAGAGGAGGGTGGGGTCCTCTAGAACAGTACCAAGTGTAATATATTAGGGAGGAGAGAGGGGGTGGGGTGGGGGTCCTCTAGAACTGTTCCAAGTGTGATATACTACTGGAGAGAGAGAAGGGGTGGACCTCTATATCTAGGGTAGAGGGTGGAAACCCTGTGGACAAGTCCTCAGCACCCCAGTTTGACATGCTATGCTCAGCTCCAGTGCACCCCCTCCCCACTCCCGCAATATGAAATTTGTTTCCAACACTTGTGCTACATCGTATTAAAACAATTTTCATTGAATTTCTAGATCTATTATTTTCGCTATTTCTATTTTCTAAATTTAAAGTTAATTAATTCTTTTAAAAAAAAAAACCAAAACCTGATATTAATAAAAACTTTTTGCAGACAATTATTCATATGACAATTGTGATCTATCTTAGCATAATAAAAAAATTTAAATCCAATGTGAGCCTTGAGTCGACAATGCCATATTTTATTACTATTGACTGGCTTTTTAAAACGATATCTGATCCTTATAGATGTAATGCAGATAACAGATAAAACATGTAGGTGAAGAACTTGAAACCCAAGCCATGACACTCAATTAAATACTTTAACAAGACAGGGTGTGGTTATTTTAATACAGCATTATATAACATATACATCAGTTGGTTACTGGCTTGTTTTTAACTTGTAGCAATATCACAGAGACAGAGATAGAGAGATTATCATCCACTCCACTCCACTCCACACTAACTAGGTCATTTTGGGACTAACATATGGTTCAATTTTATTTCAATAATTCACTTGCCCGTAGGGGTCTTTAGCAGTGGGTGGAAACCAGAAAACTCGGCCACCAAGTGAGAGAGAGAGAGAGAGAGAGAGAGAAAGAGAGAAAGAGTGAGGGTTTAACATCCACTCAATACAAACTAGCTACTTTCGGGACTAACATATGGGACAATTTACATTTGAATAATTTGCTTATTGCTAGTCAGAGAGAGAGAGAGAGAGAGAGAGAGAGAGAGGTTTAAGGTCCACTCAATACAAACTAGGTCATTTTGGGACTAACATACAGTACAATTTATATTTAAATAATGTGCTTGCACATAGGGGTCTTTAGCAGTGGGAGGAAACCTGAGTACCCGGAGAAAACCCACAAGGTTAGGCAGGTGACCTTATATCATTTCATGTACAAGTGTTGGATCATAACCAGGCTACTAGACTCAATGACAGACTTTATGATCTAAGGCACACATGTTCAAAATTTGACCCATTTATTTCTTCATGCTTTTTTAGATTAAACATACATTATGCAAGAGCTAAATCTGCCAATTTCAGGTCTTTCTTTGGGCCTGAAATGTTATCTAAATTATTAATTAACTTATCCAGATCATAATCAACTCTCGATGGCATCACTAGCCTGCGATATTTACTGGATTATGATCCCATTTGCTGCATGACTTCAATTCATAATTTAATCATGAAATGGATGATCAGGACTATGTTTTTTATCGTACATAATTTAGTAATGATGATCGAGGCTAGGCCAAAATTTCAATTGCTTAATTCTTGGTTCATAGTGGATCAATTTGACTGAAAGTTTCAGCAATTGCCTTTACATTATCTAGTTTTTAACTATTATAGTGAGAACGGTCAGCTCTTTATCTTATCTCCCATAATGTATCTTTAACAAGGTATACATACACATGTATATAAATTGTACAATTGTCAAACTATATCAATGTAGGGATCGAACACCGGACCCCCAGGCTAGCGAGCCAGCGTCTTACCCACTTAGCCACCGTGACCCTGAGGTTAAATAAATAAATACATAAATATATAAATAATTGTTCGTATACTTAAGGTGTGAGTCTATCCGAGATTTTTTATTCTGAAATGTTAAAGCTATTGAATTGAAAATAGTACAGGTAGTTAGGAAATGTAATGAACAAGGAAAACAAGTTGTTGCCAGGGTAACACATTTTTTGGGAAAAAATTATGAAAAACGTTTTTTGTTACTTTATCAACTTGTGTTGATATTTTTTGATATCAAAAAAAACTGGTAGGAGATTACCTATATCTACCACAGAAATCAGACAAAGCAATTTGAATGCAGTCCTAAAATGAGACATTTATCTTTATTAGTGCCAGAGATAAGGTGTACCTACGTTTTTCATACTTTTTTGCAAAAAAAAAGGGTTACCCTGGCAACAACTTTTTTTCTTTATGTATATATATTAAAACTTACGCTGTTCGAGAAATAAATCCTGATAATCCTGTTTGATTTTTCCTTTCATGTAAACATGAACCACTGCAGCCATTTCAAAAAAATTATTGGTACAGAATTCCTGTTGCATAGCGCTGGTACTCGTTCCTTTTGACGATCCAAGCAGACTATTCAATTCCTGTAAACAATTTGTCTGAAACGAGAAAACACATGTAATGAGACATACATGAAAATGATATAATGGAATGGAATGGGATGGAATGGAATGGAATGGAATGGAATGGAAATGAGAATGGAATGGAATGGAAATGAGAATGGAATGGAAATGAGAATGGAATTGGAAATGGACTGAGATTGGAAATGGAATGGAAATGAGAATGGAATGGAATGGAAATGAGAATGGAATGGAAATGAGAATGGAATTGGAAATGGACTGAGATTGGAAATGAAAATGAAAATGAAATGAAAATGAAATGAAATGAAATGAAATGAAATGAAATGAAAAGAAAAGAAAATAAAAGGACATGGGGTTCAACATCCTAACTGTTCTGAACCAACTGGGTTGATAAGATGGCTGAAAGATAAAACACATGTTATTATGAGACGAAGTGCAGTTATAACATTTCCATATGTGATGTCTGGAATTCTAATCAATGCACATTTCAGATTATAGTACAAGATGGTATATACCATTGTTTAATTCATACATGGCCCAGCCAGGAGATACAGTAACTCAGTGAGTAAGAGAGAGAGAGAAATGGGGTTTAACGTCCACTCGACACAAACTAGGTCATTTCGGGACTAACATATGGTTTAATTTTATTTCAATTATTCGCTTGCGCGTAGGGGTCTTTAGCAGTGGGAGGAAACCGGAGGACCCAGAGAAAACCCACGAGGTTGGACAGGCGACTCTACTCCTTGTCACGTACAACCGGGGATTCGAAACCACGCCAGTCGACCCAATGACAAACTTTATGATACAGCGCGCGCACGTAGTGAGTAAGACGCTGACACACTAACCAGGAGATTTAAGGTTTGATCTCGGTGTTTTCCGAGACGAGAAATTTCCCCTCTTGTCACCTGTACATTGACATACTTTGTTGTTTTTTTTATCCAAACCAAACAACTAGTACCACACTGGGTTTGAAATATCAGTAGGTAAGACTCTAGCTCTCTAAACCAGATGTATGGAGTTTTATCCCGGTGTTGGCTGAGAATTTCCCTGGAATTTTCCATTGAGGCTTCCTCTTGTCATGCTGTACATTGGGGTTTTTTTTTATCACATCTGACAAGCAACACACTAGACTTAAAATAACCTGAAAGTTCTTCTCTGCTCGAGATTCCAGTGCTCTTACCAATTAATTACTTCAGTCTTGTGTCGCTGTCCGGGCAAAATTTCCCTCATAGCACACTGTATGACATATGCCCGTCTTCATTAGCCCAGTATAGGAGCAGAACAGTAGGATGTTAAACCCCAATTCATTTCATTTACAATATTTCTTCTATATAATGTGTTTTGTTTTGTGTTCCACTGTACAGTTGGACCTGGTCGTCTAGGAGAGAGAGAAAGAGAGAAATGGGGTTTAACGTCCACTCGACACAAACTAGGTCATTTCGGGACTAGCATATGGTTTTATTTTATTTACATAATTCGCTTGCGTGTAGGGGTCTTTAGCAGGGGGAGGAAAATGGAGAAAATCCATGAGGTTGGACAGGCGACCCTACTCCTTGTCACTTACAACCGGGGATTCGAAACCACGCCAGTCGACTCAATGACAGACTTTATGATACAGCGCGCGCACGCTAACCATTCAGCCATCCAACCCCCCCTGGTCGTCTAGGAGAATTGATGTACCAAAAGCCTACATGCAGTGACTTCAGTTGTTGCACATACATAGCAGCCATGGTCTTGTGTTTTCCTATTTATTGCTGGTATATGAAAGAAATCATCATTATGGATATTTTTTTATCAAAGTGGCATCATATAAATTCTCTTCTCTTTCACACCTTTCTCTAGGTATTGTCAATAAACTAATGTTTTAAAGCAAATGCTTTGAAGATGTACATTTCGTGCTGGTTGTGATAAAAACAACATTCATACTGGAGACATGCTGTTCTGGGAGAAATTAATATCTAGTGAAGTGCCTATTTTGCAAGAAATTAATGGTTGGTAATTGCCTGTTTAAGATGCAAAGGTGTGAAAGATAAAATAAAGCTTTTCTTTTACTTCTAGCAGTAATAAAAATGTTTAAATGTTGTTTAAGCTACCCAAAGGGATTAACTACATATTATATGACTTCCTGTATGTATTGATAGACAGTTTATGTCTTAAACAGTCTCAAAAATATCACAAGAACAAATATATATCTATTTGTGAAGATATTTTCGAGAATTTTTTGTTTAAAACGAGAATTTTTTGTTTAAAACGAGAATTTTTTGTTTAAAATGTAGTATGTCTCTAAATTATGACAGGAAAAAACTAAATATTTATTCTTGAAGATTCCTGTGAAAATGTTTTCTTCAAATAAAATGTAGCCTATGGTCGTGAATAGTAGGTCCATGTTAAGGGTACACAGAACCTGGGTTTTTTTCGTCCCATCCAAACGACTATATGCTATACTTTGCCAGGTCCTCCGTCCTACAGCACCGACAAGGGGGAACCACGCCGGAAATTGCCAATGAGAGAGAGAGAGAGAGAGAAATGGGGTTTAACATCCACTCGACACAAACTAGGTCATTTTGGGACCAACATATGGTTTAATTTTATTTCAATAATTCGCTTGCGCATAGGGGTCTTTAGCAGTGGGAGGAAACCAGTGATGGGATTTCAAAATTTTTCTTGTCGGACATTTTTTTCCCAAAAATAAAGGGGCATAACTCTTTTTTAAGCAGACGTTTTCAAACCACAATTAAGAATCACGTGTCAACAAAATATTCAAATTTATACGTAATAAAAAAATATCTTCACCTCGTTATTTTTCATGCTTAATTCCCGTACGGTATTAAAATTTATGTCAATAATATTCTTACAAAATTACATGACATCGTAATACCATAGAATGAAAGTGTGACGACTACTGTCAATCGATACCTGTTTCAAATTCCCCCCAATTACCGTATTTTTCGGGTCATCTTACTCACTGAGCCACCGTGGCTCCGAATGGCGATCAGAGACTTTCGATCCATATAAAACAACTTATAAAATATAACGAAACATAATTCACATCTGATTTATAATAAGACAGAAGATATAAATAGGTTGAACACCATTGTGGGGGGATGGATGGTCGAATGGTTAGCACCCACACTCAGTATCATAAGGTCTGTCATTGAGTCAACTGGCGTGGTTTTGATTCCCCGGTTGTATGTGACAAGGTGTAGGGTCGCATGTTCTCCGGGTCCTCCGGTTTCCTTCCAAGCAAATTATTGAAATTGAATCATATGTTAGTCCCGAAATGACCTAGTTTGTGTCGAGTGGGTGTTGAACTCTCTCTCTCTCTCTCACCATTGTCCAGCAGCCCATAAGGCCAAATATTTAGACAGTGTAATCTAATCACTTTCTCGTGTTAACAACATGTATCATTTTGAAAAAGCTTGGATGATAGATGTGGACGACGGACAGACAGTGAAGGTGACAACAATATACAACCATATTTCCATGTGATATACAATAATAATATCAGGCATTTTGAAAAAGTTTGGATGATAAATGTGGACAACGGACTGACAGATGATGTGACGACAGTATTCGACCATATTTCCATGTGATATACAATAATAAATAGAATACAAAATGAATTTAATTCATCATCCCTGAAAACGTTGGATAAAACGATGATTTTTTGGATATTGTATGCTATTTATTATTATCAATTTATTCTAATATCAAATGCATCATTTTCACATAGTCTATGTGGGAGAGAGAGAGAGAGAGAGAGAGAGAGAGAGAGAAAAATGGAGTTTAACTTCCACTCGACACAAACTAGATCATTTCGGGACTAACATATGGTTCAATTTTATTTCCATAATTCGCTTGCGCGTAGGGGTCTTTAGCAGTGGGAGGAAACCGGAGGACCCAGAGAAAACCCACGAGGTTGGACAGGCGACCCTACTCCTTGTCACGTACAACCGGGGAATCAAAACCCCGCCAGTTGACTCAATGACAGACCTTATGATACAGCGCGCACGTGTTAACTTTTCAGCCATCCACCACCCCTCTATTTATTGGATGTTTCTCACCCTTCCATGCGAGCATATAAAAGGCATCTACGCTTTCAATAGCAACTGCTTCCGCAATTAGCAAATATCAATACTGGTTGATCAAATATTACCTTTTCTGCCAGCATGGTCCACAATATCTGATGAGTGATTCCGTATTCTGTTAAACCCTTCATTGTCATCGTATCCAGACATTCCTTGCCAATATAACAAGTCTTTTTATCACTGCGATTACTCCCTGTTAGCTCGGCCATACATTTATCACTCGTCGCTTCATCAATTTTAACTGTGAACAAAAGACATGTCAGGTTTAAGTGGAATCGCTAATAAAACGGGAGTTTGAAATATCTGCAATCAATCAGCGACAATTTGACATATTGGTAAACTCAATAGATCTGACATTTTGTATTGATCACCAGGGAAAATATGCTACTTTCAATCCGACTACAAACAACATACAAGAGCTACTAATTTCTAGAAGCTTGGTCAAATATTTATTCACTTTCCGGGAGACGGATAGTCATCTTATATATCTTCCGTAGGAATCTGTTAATCAGCTCTAAAAATAATCTGCCGGCAGTAATATCAAAATTATACCATAACAGCCATTTTTTATTTTGATAAAGAAAATCATGGCTACAGAACAATGGCAAAGAAGACTATTGTCATCATGGTTGTGTACCCTTCTGTACCAAAAATACAGTGAACTTTTGGTTCCATGGAAAGAGAAAAAATTATTTAATATACATGTATAATACACTACGCTGCTGGAGTTTGGGACTAGAATCGCAGAACACGGCGGAAAAACTCCCTGTTCCGCGGCGGAATCTGGGAGAATCGCTAGCGGAATGCCAGCTAGCCAAATATCACGATGTATGCTTAGCAAAACAAGATGAATTCCTAGAGAAACACGGTGAATTCCTAGCGAAACACGGTGGAATCTTAGAGAAAAATCGCCGTGGAATCAAGCGAAATTTCATCGCGGAATCGTAAGAGAATTCAGAGTGGTTTTTTTTCACTGCGTCCCCGCGATTTCGTTCCCCAAAATTTGGGAGGAACTGTAGGTGTACAAGGTTGAACAGTTTACGAGATATTCTCCAGACGCAAACACAGGAAAACGGAGCTCATATCCTTTCCTTTACTTTTTTCATTGCAGGATAAACCAGAAGACGATGGAAAGAGAATTTTGCCTAGACAGAGGTTTCTGTCACTTGTTGGTCCTTACACTTTTAATCCTCTATCAAATGACTGAGTCGTGGTGGCTCAGTGATTATGGTGCTAGCTCACTCACCAGGATGGCCCAGGTTTGGTCTTGAGATTGGCTAAGAAAGTTCACTTTTCTTCTGGTTTCCCCTAGTCTGTGGCACAGAACGGAAATAACTAAATGAAATGGGGTTTAAAGTCCTACTGTTCTGCTCAAACTGGGCTAATGAAGACAAGCATATGCCATACAGTGAGCTATGAGGGAAATTTGCCACGAGAGTGCCGCTTCAGCCAACTCCTATATCAAATTCCAAGGGATCTTTTACATGCATACCAATGTGTACATGGGAGCTTGGTTTTTTGTGCCATCCGAACGACTAGACATCTGTCCATGTCAGGCCCTCCGTCCTACACCACTGGAACCATGCCGGAAAATCCTGATGAACTTTTTCGGCCAATGCAGGGATCGAAGACAAGACCTCCAGGTTAGCAAGCCAACATCCTACTCACTGAGCCACAGTGGCTTCCTGCACGGCTGAAAGGAACAGGATCTATATATAAGCCTGGCACCGAGTTCAAAAAACGAACAGGTTGCCAGCTGGATCGGTCGAATAGGTCGCTAGCCGAATAGGTCGCCAATTTGTGTTCGGTTAATATCTGTCACGTTTCAGCTATCACCTGATGTAAACAATTAGCCATGTGGCTTAAATTGTGTCACAGTGTCCAGTTTAGAAACTTAATTTACACAAACGCGTTGTATATTATACCTTCAAAACACCGTAAGTTCTTGTTCTTAATATCCTAATAAAGATTACCTTTCATCAGATTTTCTGCCAAACGGCGAGACGATCACAAAATACAGCGCTAAACTTGCTCCAAATTTGTATGTTTACTATAGTGACCAGTGAGCGTGTCGAACCAACTACGTCACTTCCGGTATTAATAAAAATTAATTTCTCGCTTGCAAATTATTTTTTGCATATGTTATAGGAGGGATTATTTCTAAATATATATTTATTATTTATGGAAACCTTATTGAAAATCGTTGGTCTTCCCCTTTAAGTTAAGAATTTACTCAAAATTGTTCGCCTTATTTTAACTAAAGTATATAGCCCTTTATAAAACCTTCGTTGTTTTAATGTATAAAATACATCAATAAGAAACTTAATTTTTGTGCTTCTGGGTCAAAGATTTTTTCTCATAAACAGTGATTGAAAGTTGAGTAAATTCTTAACTTAAAGTCTGAAAATGCTTTGTGAACTCGGGGGCTGGTGTGTGGAGAAAAGTTCAACCCTATTTCATTTATCAAATTTCTCATCTTTACTTACATTGTTTAGTTGACTTGTAAATTTTAGGCGTCCAACGTAATGCTTGATCTAGTTTTCGATGTTTGTGTAAAATATTCCATGGCTGGCCAATCACATAGCTCATACTATTGTAATAGCCCTCATCATCTTTCCTAACAAACTCGATCGCTTGATTACTGATGAGAGTACTGACAGATGCCATGGTCCGCAGGCGTGACAGAATGTCCGATGATAAATGAGTGTGACTCCCATTCTGATGTTCGGCAAGTATTAACTGTAAATGACCTGGAAAATAAAAGATAAAAGATAGGTATGCTGCAATGAAATGAAATGAAATGAAATGAAATGGGGTTTAACGTACTACTGTTCTGCTCCTATACTGGGCTAATGAAGACGGGCATACGCCATACAGTGTGCTATGAGGGAAATTTTGCCAGGGCAGCGGCACTATCGCCTACTCTTATATCGAATTCCAACTGCCAGGGGATCTTTTACGTGCATTCCAATATATACACGGGACCTCGGTTTTCCGTCTCATCCGAAGGACTAGACAGCTGTCCTTGTCAGGCCCTCCGTCCTGCATCACTGACAAGGGGGGACCACCGGGTGTGCTGCAATATTAGTCCAGGATATAAAGAGCTTTTTTAAAGGATTTATTATCGGATCATTTCTTGTTGCGACCCACATATTTTATTATAGTAAAGATTCAGTATCAGATCATCTCTTGGCATGGCCCGCATATTGCAGTGTAATGGTTCTTTATCGTATCATTTCTTGGTTTATCCCGCATATTGTTGGATCATTTCTTGGTATGGCCCGCATATTGTAGTGTAATGGTTTAGTATCTGATCATTTCTTGGTATGGACCGCATATTGTTGGATCATTTCTTGGTATGACCCCCATATAGTGTAATGGTTTAGTATCGGATCATTTCTTAGGTAGGCCCACATACTGTGGTGTAATGGTTTAGTATCGGATCATTTCTTGGTGTGACCCACATTTTGCAATGTAATAGTTTAGTATCGGATCATTTTTTGGTATGGTCCCCATATTGTAGTCTAATGGTTCAGTGCTGCATTATTGCTAATTTATTTTGGCCATGCTTCGAAGAGTATTCTTTCAACGTTTTCAAGCATGACATTGAGAAAATATTCTTTGGATTCAAAGAGTATTCTTTCAACTTTTTTAAAGAATTCTCTTTGAAGCATCGCCAAAATCAATAGTAATTGTTCTCCCATGAGATTCGAAGAATATGTTATAGTTTATTACTTATATACCGTGTAATAAACTAATTGTCTGTTATAGTTACTGTGATTACTGTTATCAATTATTCAACTCAGAACTGGAACAAATGCCATCAATTATTGTAACTACAGTGTAGCTACAAAATGACATGAAATGGGGTTTAAAATCCTACTGTTCTGATCCGACTGGGTTAATGAAGAGAGAGAAATGGGGTTTAACGTCCACTCGACACAAACTAGGTCATTTCGGGACTAACATATGGTTTAATTTTATTTCAATAATTCGCTTGCGCGTAGGGGTCTTTAGCAGTGGGAGGAAACTGGAGGACCCGAAGAAAACACACGAGGTTGGACAGGCAACCTTACTCCTTGTCACGTACAACCGGGGATTCTTAACCACGCCAGTTGACACAATGACAGGCCTTATGATACAGCACACGCGTGCTAACCATGCGGCCATCCAACCCCCCGGGTTAATGAAGACGACATATGTCATACAGTGTGCTATGAAGAAAGTTTGGCCTGGACAGCAGCATTATGGCCTACTGTTATATCGAATTCCAACTGCCAACGGAACTTTTACCTGCACACCAATGTATACACGGGACCTCCGTTTTCGTAGCATCCAAACGACTATACGTTGTCTCTTGTCAGGCCCTCAGTCCTGTACCACTGACATGGAGGAACCACGTCGGCAAATTCAAATGAACTTTCTCAGCCAAAGGGGGAACGAATTCCGGACCTCCAGACTAGCGAGCCGATGTCTTACCCACTGAGCCACTGAGGCTCCCCGAAACCAATACAATCAATTAGCTACATGTACAGGCCAATCTGATCAAAATACAGATCTATATTTCGTTTCGTTTTTTTATACTTTCGATGGCCTACACTACATGAAGATCTGACCGGTTGATGCGATAGGTCACATCAGAGGTCATATGAGCAGCTTTTGACCCTATTGCGTCAGACATTTGATTAACCAATCAGCACTAGTGTTACTAGTGGATTACCCATAGTTCCGTGCAAAACACGTCTAAAGCTCGCTGTAACAGATCGTTTTATTGGCTAATACCTCACACCATTCAGAACACGTCAATGATAACAACTCTTCCAGATCCGAGTGTAGTAAAGACAAGCAATACGAAATTTTGAACTATAAAAAAACGAAACGAAATAGAATCTGTGTTTTAACCAGATTGATGTACAGGTATGAAGAATAACAGAATCCAGGCACTACAGATGGACAACATGCATAGGCCTACCTATACCAGGGAGTTGGGTGCCTGAATGGTTCAACGCATGTACATTAGATCATAAGGTCTGTCATTGAGTCAAGTGGTGTTGTTTTGATTTCCCGGTTGTACATGACAAGGAGTAGGGTCGTCTGTCCAACCTCGTGGGTTTTCTCTGGGTCCTTTGATTTCCTCCCACTACTAAACACCCCCTATGCGCTCTCTCTCTCTCTCTCTCTCTCTCTCTCTCTCTCTCAAAGTATGAGGCTGACCTTAAAAATATCTTTGTTTCGCCTAACGCGACCGACTAACTAAAACCACCCCCGACTTAAATTATTTTATTGCACTTTTCCGTGACCTTTTTATTTTATTTTGTGTGTCAACCTGAAATATATCACGAGAGTTATTTCCCTTTACTATGGCTATGGTTTGATTCATTATTAAAACTGGTTGATCAAGACGAAAGCATCATAGGTGTCGCTTCTCAACAAAATGGTTGCAGACGAAAGCACGTCCATTCCCACGAAATGATATTGAAAATATCCGTTTTCGAGAAAAATGAAAGCACAACCCGCACGATCGTTATAAAACGTGTTGAGGGAGTTTCAAACGTCAGTTTGTGGCAATTCGTGTGCGAGTCGTGCATCACGAAAAATCCCGATGTGATTGATTTGTTTGCCAATAAAAGAAGATGAATGTTTGCACCCGGAAAATTATCAAGCTGTCAAATTAGCTCTTAAAAAAAAATCTGAAAAAAAAAAACGACCTACCGACCCTTCTCCTCGATTGTGGGTCGGGTTTGGTGAAACAAAGATATTTTTAAGGTCAGCCTGACACAACACATTCCATCAAATTAATTAAACTTATAAAAAAACTTTGCTATGAATTAGAAGTGAAGCGATAGTATTATGTTTTGTTTACATCAGAAATATTATCAAACTCTCACAAACTTTCCAATGAATGGACTCTTTCAATGTTTTGTTATCTATATCCCTCTTATTGGATAACATTAACCCCTTGAGACCCAAATTTTAACCCTGTCTATTGAAAGATGTTATAAAAGAAATTTTTTAATATTTAATTACATGTTTGTAATGTATCCAGATGTTACGTACACACCCAAGGTATTTTCAACATTTGATGACGCTGTGAAGCAGATTAGAAATAAAATAAAATGGGGTTTAGCTACCAACTGTTCTGCTCCAACTGGACTAATGAAGACATAGCCATACAGTGGGTTATAGAGAAGTTTTGCCTGGACAGTGGCGCTTTAGCATACTCTTGTATCAAATTCCAACTGCCCAGTCGGAGCAGAACAGTACTGAGTAGGATATTAAACCCAATTTCATAATAGAGAGAGAGAGAGAGAGAAATGGGGTTTAACGTCCACTCGACACAAACTAGGTCATTTTGGGACTAACACATGGTTCAATTTTATTTCAATAATTCGCTTGAGCGTAGGGGTCTTTAGCAGTGGGAGGAAACCGGAATACCCTGAGAAAATCCACGAGGTTGGACAGGCGACCCTACTCCTTGTCACGTACAACCGGGAAATCAAAACCATGCCAGTTAACCCTTAACCGGTTGACGTCATTTTGACGTTATGACATCAAGTGGTCAGGCTAAATAAAGGGTGACGTGAAATATTTTGTATGCCTATTTCAATCGACTACTGCCGAATAATTTTAAGTGATAGACTCTTGACACCAATAAAAAAGTTTCTAGGGATAAGTTGATCTAGAATTTGCAAATCATTCTAAATCCTTTTCATCAGAAATATCGTCTTCAGAATCGGTGTCATCGATATAATCCAATTCGGAATAATTCATAAGTATTTCAACCACTTTGAGCGTCTTTAACGTTCCCGACATCGTTAAATTACGTTTTTCGTCAAAAAATGTTGACCAAAGACATGTTTTTCTCAATGCCCTTGACAAGACATGTTCCTGTCTGACACGCATGCATGGCCATTATCAATTAAATACGAAACTAAATACTCAAACGTGGCTTATAAAAAAGGTTCTTGCTGTGGCCGTGACCACTTAGCTGTATAATGTTGTGGTGACTATAGTCGACAATGACCGGTTAAGGGTTAACTCAATGGCAGACCTTATGATACAGCGCACACGTGCTAACCATTCGGCCATCTAACCCCATATTTCATAATAGAGACACTGGCTCTCGAACCTGGAGGTCTGTTGGGTTTAATCCAGGTGTTGGCCGAGAAAATTACCCCGCATTAAAGTTACAATTTCATATTTTCTAAGAAAGTCAAAACATAATTATTTCTATGTCTTTTGCTCAATAGGTTGTCAACTCACTATTATACGATCATAGGTGTCATTCTCACACTTAAAACTCATTTACACCGGAAATAATAACACAATTACCTCCCAATTACTTCCCTTGTTTTCTATTCTCCACCATGGAGTAGTTATCTTCAAACGTTGGAATTTGAAGATGAAAATGATATTTTTGCCAATTTCTCAACTGGCAATAGGGAATTATAGGATTAATAGGATTATTCTTTAACAAGCTAGGACTGTTTATAGATATCATCTATTTTAAGGCTTTATTTTAATAAATTTTAAAAATATAACTTAAAAATATGAAATTGCAACTTTAACCTGCATGGTTTTACAGTGTCAAAAGAGCAGGACAGAACGCCTGTTGAAGTGGAACAGTGCATAGTTGTGTGGATGGGATGAAAAAGAAACTGTGACAGTTGTTATTGAACTAAGAGTCAGCAGAAATGCTACTGCCTAAGCAAGATTTCCATCATAGCACCCAGTTGGTAAAAAAAAAAGA